ACCAAACAATGCATGCAAGACGTCGAAAGCCCTGAATTGTATGAAACGCGTCGATGCAGCCTAATGTCAACTCTTGATTAATAAACCTCCTGTGATTAAAGGCATCCCGCGCGGGCCTCGGACCTGGCTGAAACCATGTTTTAAAGGCGCTGGCCTCTTCCACCAGAGCCCCCCCCTTGTCAGAAAAAGCCTTGCTAAAACCCCCTCCCACGATTAATGGCAACCTTCTGCCCCCGGTATCTCCAAATGCCAACTTGCCTGCAGACTTAGAAGGGGTTTAGGTGGGTTGAAGGGTTCAGGGGTTTCTAAGTACGCAAGCAGGCGTTGGTTTCCATAAGCGGAGAACCGAAACGAAATTCGAAAAGTCGAAAATTCAAAAAGTCGAAAAGTTTTCGACTTTTCGGATTTTCTTGCAATTTTCGGATTGTTTGTGCTTTTCGACTTTTCGGGTTTTCTGGCACTTTTCAGACTTTTTGGGGCTTTTCGACTTTTTGGGTTTTCTGGCTCTTTTTTAGACTTTTGGGCTTTTTAACTTTTCGACGTTTCGGTTTTTTTGTCACTTTTCGGACTTTGTGGGCTGTTCGGCGTTTGACTTTTCGGGTTTTCCTGCACTTTTCCGTCTGGTTGGGCTTTTGGACTTTTCGGGTTTTCTTGCACTTTTCGGATGTTTTGGGCTTTCCGACTTTTCGTCTGTTCGGGTTTTCTTGCGCTTTTCGGACTTGTTGGGCTTTTGGGCGTTTTGACGTTTCGACTTTTCGCGTTTTCTGGTACTTTCGGACTGTTAGGCTTTTCGACTTTTCTTGCACTAGTGGGGCTTTACGTGTCTTTCGACTTTTCGGGTTCGGCTGTTCGTTTCGGGTTTTTCGCGTTTTTGGACTTTTCGTCCATCTTCTTGCCTTCTCAGTTTTTTGGTTGTACAAGTTTTTGATTGGGCACTAGCTGACTCGATAGCCACACGATCGTTCTTAGGGTCAGTCATAGTTTCAAGTGTCGTGGTTGTAGCTCGTTCGGGCCTTCCTGCTTTGGGTTCTTCTCCTGCCCTAAGCCAGATGCACCACTCAGCAAAACAGCCGATCCGTGTCGCTGGGGCATTGGCTGTCAAAGGGCTCAACATGAGTCAGGCCTGCTGTGTGGCAGTCACAGTGCCATTGTAGCGCTTAGATCAAGCACACCTACACTTAGCCTTCATCGGTTTTATCAGCCATCTAACGAAGTCGTTAAGCCGGGCGCACCACTAAGCAGAACAGGCTTCAGCGCTTGGCGATTGAAAGGGCGTTAAAGGCCTTCGCTAAATTTTTAAAGAGCTTAGGTTTTGAAAAGACCTTATGGGGTTTGTTCGTGTCAGTGACTTTGTGTAGCTCTTCAAAGGTCTTCAACGATGGGGATCGGAGGGCTTCCTAATGGTCTTCCTCAAAGCTCCTCGCACGATCATGCCCCGAAGCACCTTTCACATCGCTACGGCCCCAATATTAGTGGTTTCTGCGAGGAAAATGCGAGGAGTCGTACTTGGATTTTTCTGTTTTTTTCTACTCGGGTTTAACCCTGGCTGTCTTTGAAGTGTTTATAGATGTCGCTGGGTTTGGAGTTTGGGGTTTAAGGCTTAGGGCTTACGAGTGTGGGGTTTAGGGTTGTTTACGGCTGGAAGCTGCCAAAGGCATGAATCATAGCAGAGCTCCTGCAGGGATGAAACAGTATAAAGCATGTCCCATAAAACCTAAACCCCAAATCCTCCAATCCTCCAACCCTAAACCTGAAACTCCAAACCCTAAACCCTAAACATCCCCAAAACCAACCTCTAAGGCATTCCAACCAAGCAAACCAGTGTGGGTGGACAAAACAAGAAACCATCCACGAAACCCTAAACGTACGACCTCTATCAAGATCTCATGTTTGGCCTTTTCCTTAAAGGGTTGCTTCGAGGGTTCAAGCTTCTGTCCAGGAATCCGAAGGGGGTTTACGGTTTCAGGGTTAAGGTTTGAGGCTTTGGGGTTTGGGGTTTAGAGTGGCATTTGCTACGAGGAAAACAGACAGTTAGTTATATACATATATTTTCTGTTGGCTTTTATTCGGGTTTAGCCATGGTTGTCTTTGAAGCGTTTATAAATGTCGCTACAGGCGTTGATGTGTTCTCAGGGCTTGGAGTTTAGGGCTTAACACTGGTGTACATGTGTATCCACATATGCATATATATATATGTGTACATACCTTCAAATATGTACATATACACACATATTTATTTGTTTATTTGTTTATTCAGATACATGTATATACAATATACATATGCATGTACGTCTAACCATTTTTGCTTACCCACACATAGCATATGCAAATGTTTACGTGTCTTGTATAACCTTCCACATTAACTTCCCTGTGCCATGGACACCTCGCACATGTAATGAAGACGGACATCCTTTCCGGTGTTTTTATTTGGCAAGGTTTCAATTTTAATAGGCTCCAAGGCCAGAACCTTCCCCCCCCCCCCGTCCTGAAATCCTTAACATTATCCTAGATCTGCCTTTGCTCTCTGCGGACCAAAGCTGTGCCAAAATGCTTTAGATTTGTGCTTATTGTTGTTTTTTCGGCTTCTGCTGCNNTGCTGCGGTGACTGTTCGACTTTCTTCACTTTTTGACTTTTCGACTTTTCGCGTTTTGCTGTACTTTTCGACTTTTCGCGGCTTTTCGACTTTTCGCGTTTTGCTGCACTTGTCGCGAATTTTCGACTTGTCGGTTTTTTGCGCATGAATCCCATCAACATCAGTTTGTCCAGCGCACTCGTGGGCAGATGCCAAAATCAGAGGCCGGATCGGATGAACAGATCAAGAAGCGAAGGCGAACTCAAGGGCAACGTGGAAGTTGAATTAATGGTTATAGCCAAATTATAGCTGTGCTTCTCAGATTCTCGAGCTCAGATCTGCTGGGTCGCGCTTCAGCCCAAGAGTCGGCGGACCAAGATCCTGGACAAATGCAGGGCTAGAGCATGGTCCATGATGAAGCCTGCAACGTGTTGAGAAAAGTTATGGCAGTGTACATCGTTGCAATGTGTTTTGCCTGCTTTAGTTGTAGTTAGTACAGCTTTGGCATGTTTTGCATCTCGCACATCGTTGTCCGAGCTGTGTTTGCGCAGGTGAAGGAAAGTCTCCAGGCTGTGAGCTTTGTATCCGCCCGTGTGGGGTGTGATGCACTGCTCTTGCCGTTCTTAGTTGAGGGGGGCTGTGCGCTTGCGGAGAGTGACCTCCGGTCCGCGAGGCATCTTGGAACAAGCCGGTGACGGACGGAGGGGCGGAGGTTCACAGTCCCATACGCTAAGCCGACAGTCTCCGCGTAAGATCCAGAAGCTTCCTGGGAGACCGTTTGACCACAATTCTGGTGGCCATACCAGGAGCGTACACGAAACAAACCACACATGGCCAGTCGAACTTTTCATGGCCAGATGTTTTTGGGAATTAGTCGAACTTGACCATCCTACACATCTTGAGCACAAACGGTTGAGCCACACAAAACCTTCGAGTCGTAAGCATCATAGCATCAAAAACTTTTGAGAACGCATCAAGAGCATCACAAACGCTTGAGCCACACGCAGCCTTTGAGCCGTGAGCATCAAGAGCATCAAAAACGCTTGAGCCACATATATAGCATCATGGGCATCAGAGCGGAAACCTTGAGCCGTACACCTGGGCAGGGCTAAGGATTTAGGGTCTTTAGGGTCTTTAGGGTCTTGTTAACTCCCCATCTATGTACGACGTTCCTTTTAAATTGGTACATACGACAAACATACATACATGCATACGTAAGTACACAGACATACACACGTACGTACGACATACATACATACATACATACATACATACATACATACATACACATATGACTATCGAACATACATGTTTGCGATAGTATCTAATCATGTTATAGTACACACGCACACACACTCGAGAAAACCCTGGACTCCCTGAAAGCTGAAGCTTGATTTGGCTTGGGGTTTGGGATCGGAGGTTGATCGAGTTCGGGCTTAAGGCTGCTAAGGTTGGGAGTTGGGGGTTAGTGGTTAAGTTTTGCGGTTTGGTTCTGGTGAAATTTGAGCTTAAATCGAAGAGATTTGAAGCTGA